TTACTGCTATTCCTCGCGCAATCAGCAGCTTCGTCTCAGGCGCCGTCAACTCTTGCTCTGGCAGGTCCATGGGCACCGTGATTCTAGACTGTAACTCCATTCCCGCCGTACTGGGGTCAGGCTGCCAAGGTAACCCCTTCACCTCGGTAATCTCGTCGCTGTTCCATCTTTCCGCTTCACTTCCTTTCCGTTTGAACTCGTGCGCCTTGATTGCTCCATTTGGTGTCCCAATAATTAGCTCCTGACTCTTCTCGTTTATTCCCAAAAACACTCCACTTTCCCATCTCATTTCAAGCTTTTCGCGGCCCTTGTGTGCAGGCGTCTTTAAGTACATGACACATTCGCCGAATTCAAGAATTTGCTTGTTAAACTTTCTCCCCCTGCATCTCTCATGGGCTGTCTTTCCATCCGTGTCTATCGTGAACTTGTTAATCAGAGAAGACGCATAGCTCACCAGCCATGGTATTATCGTGTGACTCTCACTAAACTCGGTCTTGTAATTGGCATCCAAGGCACTCTTAAATGTCCTAACTTGCCCTTGCACCGTCCTAACTGCTCTCTCGATTTCACCGTTGGCCTTTGAGTCGCCTACAGGACTGACTTCAACACCCATGTCGAGGTCACACGACGCTTTAATCCTGTTGGCCAGCGCCGTGATTGCCGCTTCTCCATCGCTTTTGAGTATAACCTCCTTATATCCGGTAAAGCTGATCATGTCACATCCCACCTTTACTGAGTATGAGGCCACTCCCTTTTTCAGCAACACTCGGCTCCATGTTAATTTGGTCCCCCTACAATGCATGACCGGAGTTGGGTTGCCATTGCCGGCACTTTCGCCTTCTTCCTTTTTCCCTTTAAGCCACATGTAGTCCATTGAAATTACTGGTACGTTTCCGTTCCTTTCCCTTTTGCGTCTCCGGCGATTGCGCCTGCGTGCTTTTCCTCTAACACAATGTGGGCACCAGCTTCGGCAAGGTAAATGCGTTGTGTTGGGCGCCTCAACTTCCTCCCTTGAGGGCCTCATGTCACAGTAAACTTTCTTCGGTAACTCCGCTTCATCGCTCACAAATACATCTTCCACATCACTCAACTCACTCTCGCTGCCCCCACTTTCACTCCCTTCGCCTTCTTCGGCGTTAAAGACGTTTAAGTTTTCGCTTGGTCTTACGGGTAATGAGGGGCTTAGTAGAACAGGTCCGCCTCCAGGGTTCCCGGCCGCGGAAAACCCTCAGCTGCGTTCACTTCACTCTTGGGATTAACGGCCTTTGCTGGTCCCTTCGGCACCATGATGTTGAACTGAAACGTGCCGTTCTTCTCGTGGACAGTTGCGCATTTACCTGTGGCCTTATTCATGATGCGACTCAGGGACCTCCCGTTAAGATCCTTGTCAAACGCAACTCTGTTTCCAGCGTTTGCCATTTCCCTGACGGATCCCAGAACTTTGTTGATTCCCGCTACCTGAATCGGCATGCTGACTGCGTTTCCATGCTCATTCTTGCCGGTGACCACTCGCTGCCCGCAATTCTTTATCGTCGTTCCATTTGCTGCGCTGTAATGTCTTCCCTGCTTTGACGCATCCGTTTGTTTAATGGGGAAATAGGTACCTACTTTGGGGGGCCCCACCGTGTTGTACGCCCCAGAGTCCACGGTAACCACAATTGTCTCATGCGTTGTACTCTGAGGTGGCACCGCGTTAATTTCTGGATCACAGTCTCGCATCTCGATTAGCCCAATCTCTTTGCATTTCTCCAGCCAACTTTTTTCCTGTTTCACACTTGTACTTATCCTCTGGCCCCATTGATTCACATGATTGCAGTCCCCGTTGTATTGATGCTCATGGCAAGCTCTTCTCAGGTTCATTGCGACTTTACGCGCCATTTTCTTTCTAGTATATGAGGGCAGAGCCCATTGCCCGTTAGCCTCCTCAGTTGTGAGTTGGTCTGGTGGCACGTTCACTACATCCCTGCTTTCAACGCTGAGAACATGTTGCGGTTGGCCAAATGAGGTGGTCTGTTCACTTTCCGCGTTCACCGTCGGTCTCTCTTGCTCAACTTCGTTGGCGGTCTTCTTGGGGCCCGGGCAGTTAACGGCGATATGCCCTTTGGCACCACACTTGTAACACTCACGCTCGCTGTGGGGGGTAAATTTTCCTTGGCCCCCATAACTCCCACCCCACGAGCCACTCCCTTTACCACCTTGTTTGCCCCCAATCTTACCTTTCATGTAGGACCCGTAGGTGGCCCGGTAACCCTTGCCTTTTCCGCCTTTGCCACCTTTACCTCCTTTGGTGAACTGTTTAGGTTTTGTGCAGTTCCTGGCTAAATTACCCATGCCTCCACAATTGTAACATTTGGGGCCTGTGCCTTTACCTTTGCCCTTGTTTACGGCGTCGACTTCTTCATGATCTCCACTGTTACTCTCATTAGCCCAGGACCCGTAACTCCAAGATCCATCTTCTGGCCACCAATTTCCGCCCTCGTCAACCCATCCTGTCTGGTCCCAGACATTTTCGGACCCTTGACTCGTCTCGTTGATATTTCCAATGTCCATCGCATCTTTATTCTTGGTGTCTGAGTCGAGTTTCTTTTTACGCGCCCAATCTTCACACTTGGAGTATAGCTTCTGGAATGAGTCAATGTTAAGCGCGTCGGGCGTTCGCCAGCACGCCTGCTGCCACTCGCCAAACCAATCGTTCGCAAGCACCATTATTGCCCTGAGTGCGGTGACCTTAAAGGGGAGGGGCAGTAAGTAATCTTTACCATACTTTTCAAGATTTTCTGCCAATGCACTCCACTCCTCAAGTCGGGTAACAGTGTCAGTAATCTTCTTGGGCGGCTCAGGGTTCATGGCGTGTGTCATCTTTGAGGACAGAGTCGCTCCGGTAACAGCCGAGTACCACTTGTAAACCTTTTGCCGAGCCATAATTCCATCACCATCCATAAGTCCCTTCAATTTTCCTCTTGCTTCTGCACCTTCGAGCTTTTCGTTAAGGATGTACCATAAGTCTTCCTCCATTTGAGTTTTGTCTCCCTCGGTAAACTGGTACTCTCCTTTCTTGTCATCCTCTGCTTGTTTAGTTGGATTCGCCTTCAAGTATTCGCTTGCTGTTAATCGGCCGCTCAGTATGCGTATGATGTCATCATCATCCTCCTCTGGTACAACTCCGTCGAGTGTCTCCAACTTCTTGTTCAGCATTTTCAGTGCCGGTCGGTAACTCGGTTTTACTTGGGCCAGCGCGTTTAAGAACTTGTCGTTCCAGTCTCTGAACTTTGCTATTTCTCCACTGAAGTTCTTTAACGCCTGTAATGCTTTATATTCGCTTATCGGTTTACCGCTCCCGTGCCTGCTTCCACTTCCCCCGCTGATTGCTTCCGAAAGCTGACCAAATGTTTCAATCAACTCCTCTTGTACCTCGCCGTTGGTCTCCAACTCGGTGACTCTTTCCACCAGCCTGCGAGCACCCCTTTCAAGTGCAGCGTTTCTCTTCGTAATCGCTAACAACATGCTGTTGGTCTTCTGAACGCTCTGTAACATTTGGAATGCCTCGGCGTTCGATACTTCCCTTCGGTCCTGTGTCACTCGCTCGTTGATGAACGTTGCAAGTCCATAATGGTTTGCAAGTAACGCTGTCTGAACGTAACTGAAGTCTCCGTTCAGGTATGCCTGCTCGCACAGGTCGTTGAAGCGATTAGGGTCCATATTGACCCATGCATCTCTGTCTGCCAGTACATTGAGGTTAACCGGCGGGTCGCCCTGCCCAGGCCTAGCTGCAGCGGCCGCCGCCGCCGCCATGGCAACCGCGCTCCGCTACCATGCAAAACCCCGAGGAGGGTTCTGCACGGGAGCCCAGTAACAGTAATGATGATCGGTCACCTGTATACTCCCGCACGGCGAAGCGAGTCTCGGTGGCTTCAGCCGTTAAACACTTGAGCCAAAGGTAACAGGGTTACTATTCCTCCCCAGTCACCTGAACGCTTGCATGTTAACACATCCTCCTCCTCCTCCTCCTCCGCCTCCTCCTCCTCCTCCTCCTCCTCCTCCTCCTCCTCCTCCTCCTCCTCCTCCTCCTCCTCCTCCTCCTCCTCCTCCCTCCTCCTCCTCCTCCTCCTCCTCCTCCTCCTCCTCCTCCTCTCCTCCTCCTCCTCCTCCTCTCCTCCTCCTCCTCCTCCTCCTCCTCCTCCTCCTTCCTCCTCCTCCTCCTCCTCCTCCTCCTCCTCCTCCTCCTCCTCCTCCTCCTCCTCCTCCTCCTCCTCCTCCTCCTCCTCTTGCCAGTTTTTAGGGCGGGTCGGGCGTTTCGCCTGAGACTTCCTCACCATGTATGGCCCTGAAGCTTTAAAATCGGCAACAGCTTCACAGATGGAGGGCGAGTCGTTTTCACAGTGTGGCTCTCGCCTTAGCGCCGCGCACATTCGTTGAAAAATCTTGCAAGAGTTTCACGGATTGGGGGCGGTTCCTTTTCAAAATGTGGCTCTCGCCTTAGCGCTGCGCACATTCGTTTTTAAGCGTTGCAAGAGTTTCACGGATTGCGTGCGGTTCCTTCTCAAAATGTCGCTTTCGCCTCAGCGCCGCGCACATTCGTTATTTACTACAAGAGTTTCACGGGTTCCCATGCTCAGCGTACCAGAAATGGTGTTTTGGACGGATTCCGGCTTACGAGGGTGCAACAGTTACGTTGGTTCGCAGTGTTGGAATCCCAGGGATGGCGTTCTAGCACGATTCAGGATCGTCGAGGCGAAACAATCAGGTTGATGCGTGGCGCTGGAATCCCGAGAACGATGTTTCGGCATGCTTCTGGGCGTTCAAACTGTTGTCTTCCAACGAGGCAGTTCCCTCAGTGGAAAGGAACACTTGTATTGGGCATATGAAGAGGGAGCTTGGAGGGAGGTGTATTCCAACATCGTTGATGACTCTTGGGTTTACACTGGTCCTCCTCCTCCTCCAGCTCCTCCTCCTCCTCCTCCTCCTCCTCCTCCTCCTCCCTCGCCCCTCCCCCACGGAGCCTTCATGCGGACGTCCGCCTGCCCAGGAAGGCACTCGCGCGGTGACCCATGACAGCAACACTCACAAACGCTGCGACAGCGGCGCGGACATCTGAAACATCATGCAGTCTTAGATGTGACACCGTAGCAGGAGACTCTGGAAGAGGGCGCGGATTCCTCGTGCCAGAGATGCGGGCACATGAAGGGCGGACAAAAACCAAAAATACGTTGCCTGGCAAAGGACCCAACCACATACAGTTGCGAGTACCGCGAGGGGTGTGACTAAATGGCCCGAGGCCACCATGCGGTCCCTGTCGCTGGGGCTTTCGCTGGCGCTGCAGATTGCGCCCACGAAACGTGTGATGGGTGTCCCTAGGTCGCCATGCGGACCCTGCCACTAGAGCCTTTGGTGAAGCTTCATACGGGGCCACCACACGTGAGGTGTGTGCCGAAATGGCCCGAGGTCGCCATGCGGGCCCTGCCACTGGAGCCTTTGGTGGAGTTCCATACGGTGCCACTAAACGTGTGAGGGGTGTGCCGAAATGGCCCGAGGCCGCCATGCGAACCCTCCCGCTGGGGCCTTCGGTGGAGCTCCCCATGGGGCCACGATGCGCGTGAGGGGTGTGCCGAAATCGCCCGAGGCCGCCATGCGGACCCTCCTGCTGGGGCGTTCGGTGGCCTCAAGAGGGCCCCAAGAGGCCCCAAAGAAGCCCCAAAACTGCGCCTAGAAGGCCCCCAACACAAGAAGCATCCCTGAGAACTCTGACCCGCAACCCAGGCACGGTGGCGGGATGGGCCGAAGGCCGTTGGATGACCCACGCCTCTGCTGGAACTGACAAGCCCAGAGTTCAGGACTGATCTGGTCCAGGCCACGCAGCAATTCTGGATTGGCACATCTGAAGGCAGCCTGGATACCTGAAGTGAATTGCAGATAGTTTCACTGTGAGCCCTCCAATTCCAGGTTGGCTTGTCGAGAGACCCTGAAAGGCAGAGGCACTTCTCCTCCTCCTTCTCCTCCAGCTCCCTATTCCTCCCACCGTTTCGTCCACCTCATGCATGGCGCCAGCTCGGCGAAGATGTTTCGAAGCGAGCAAGGGGGAAATGGGCGGGTGCTGTGTGTGGACGGTGAGATTGCTGATAAACCCTGGGAGTCAGGGTAGCGGCACTTGCAGTCAAATCAGGGTCCCAAAATACCTGGCTCAGATATTCATGTCAGCAGGTAGGTCACGGGAGATATGCTCAGAATCTCAGACTGCTCCGCGCTACTGTCCTGGTTCATTCCCGCCCTCACCCTCCTCCATACTGTGCATGTCGTCAGGTCAGCCCAACTGCCGTAGGAGGGAAAGTGGTAGAGGTGGACTTGGTCAGACGGGCAGTACTGCAGAGACTCGGGTTAGCTTGGCACGATGATGAACTGACACGGTCGGATATCCAAGTTCACTTTGAGCTAGGGATTGGTGGGGCCGCGTTGGCATCGTTGACCCTTTTGGCTGGGCCCGAAGGTCTGCTGCTGGCTTTGATACACAGATAAAATTTCCCTTGATCACCTCAAGGTCAAACACGGTGATCCTCGCACATTTTCTCTCCCTCCCCCTCTTCATCCCAATCCTCCCGAGAGCCTCTGCAAGCCCCGGAAGTTGTGGAACACAACCAGCTAGAGGCGCCCATAACAAGTCCTGTGGAGGCCAGACCGTCGGATGGAAACCCACGAGAATGTAAAGTGGAACGCGTGGACGCACGAGATCCACGAGTGAGAAGGGGGGCGAAGAGGGAGAGCGAAGAGGAAGACAAGGACAGGAGCCTCTTCCTCCTCCACACGAAATGTGGAGCTGGAGGAACGTTGAGGACGACGAAGGCGAGGACAAAATCGATGACAAAAACGAGGACGGGGAAGGGAGGACAAAAACGAGGATGGGGCGCAGAAGAGAGAAAGAAGCTTGTTTCCCAGCGTATGATCGAACCACTTGAGCCATAACAATGAGCCTCACTGAAAATCTCTGAACTCATTCCAAACCCAACTCCGACGCCTGTCCTTCAACCGAACCTTGGATCCAACTAGCTGAGCGTGGGGCGGTCCAGAGCTGCTTCAAACTCACGGCGCTGCTACAACTCACGAGCTGGCTATACTGCACAGGATCAAGGGGCTATACTGCTATCTGTCAGGATGGCTTGCCGAGCTGAGCTGCACAGGTCTGCTGTCTCTGTGGCTCGAGGGAGCGAGAGGAGGAGAGAAGCAAAGCAGCATTCACTCTCTCATTGCTCCCACATTTCTCGGGAGCGGCCAAGAGGGGGGTGTCCGGCGGCATGTGCGCGGCCCAGCGGGGGGCCAGGGACGCAATGAAATAAGAAGAGGCGCCATGAAATCTGGGGAAATATCTTGGCCCACGCCATGATATCCACCCCCCCCCTAGTCATCACCCCCCTCTTTTCCGCCCCCGAATTTCAGGCATCACATGCTGTGCAAGTCCCATGGCCTGTCCCGAGGGCCGGGCGGGGCCCGCCCCGCAGGCCCAGGCCCACG